GCTGCCAAAGTTAATTATTCATCCTTTCCTTAATTGGATTCAGATTGCATTTTAAAGGTGCAGCTTCAATAGGGTTGGCTGAGCCTTAATATTTCACCCCTACCTCTCCTTCTTTCCCTTCCCTCTCCCCAGGAAATGTCTCATAAGATATTGTTTCAAACCTTTGCAGAAGGGTTTGAGAGTGGATTTCAGCCCAAGGCAGTGGCTGATCATCTCACAGCAGATCTCAATCTGCTTGATAAACAGGGTAAAAAACACACATCACTGTAAGTAACTTCATGGTAGAAATGCTTCTTTGAGATGGAAAACTGACCAAAAGGAACACTAAAATATACCTTGCTGTTATGCTTGGACTTAAGGACAAGTACAATTTTTGTGTCTTAAACTTCCACTAAACAAAAAACTTTGAGTTCATAAATACATACACTATACAAGCACATGCAAAAATACCATATTCTGTGTTCTACTGGTAATTAACACTAAAATACAAATGATAGGTATGATATAGTTGTTAGGTTGCAGGGGCTTTTTTTTTTAAAGGCTCTAAACCATTTTTTGGTTCAAGAACTTGTCTTTTTTTGGAAGAAGATGAGTTGCTTCTCAGAAAGGAGATTCCAAATGTAGTTTAGACAATGAAATTACTGCTTTTGATGACTAAATTGTGAAGTTGTAATTTCACATATGGACAAACTCTTTCAGGATCAGCTATTGCAAACCTTGTTTTAAGTATTTGAACTCATCTTTTTGATGTGAGACCCTTTTGTCTCACTTGTTGCCTCCCAGCCAGACATGGAGGGGTATTTTGCAGTATGTAAGGAAGAAAATTTTAGATTAGTACTTGCCCAAAATATCCCTTCCTCTGAGGACAAGCCAAAAGTACCTCCTTTGCAAAGCAGAAAACAAGCAGTCAGATCCTTGAGACACGAATAATGAGAAAAAAAGGGGCAGGAGTGCAAATTTCACACAAAAGAACGTGACACCTGAAAGGGACACTGGCCCTGTCTGGCCCAGACAGATGCTCTTCTCTGACCAGTTGCTATTTTGTGTTCCTGCAGCCCATCTAGCTTTTTGAGGGGTTGTTGTGCTGTGTTGTGTATACAGTTGCTCATTAGTGTTACATAAATAAGTAGGTTTTCTGTTCTAGATACTGATCAAACAATTGTTCATGTATAGCACACTGAACAAGCCTTCCAGCCTCAACGGACCTTCTCCAGATACTCCAGTGATGAAAAGTACCATCCCATTAGAATATATTTACATCTTCCTGTACAGTTATTTTTAAACAGAGGAGTTAGATATCACTCATTTTCTTGCTATTAACAGCATCATAAAGGAAAAAAATATATAATTGGAGTCTGAACTGGTGTCTTTCCAGGATCACTTCTCAGGCCATCTGGTTGCCTGTGAGTTTCCAAAATAACGATGTTGAGCAATGTACTCACTTTGTGTGTGAGGGAGAAAAAGGGTAAGACAATAGACTATAATATTGCAGATGGATGTAACTGCTGAAACCATCAGATCTTTGTCCATGCTATTAGCAACACTTGCAAGGTAAAGGGTGTTACAGCCTACACTGAGAGGCTGGGAATTTTATATGGAGTATGAATTTTTTATTTGACTGCCAAAGCTGAAACTAAGAAACATCTGTCTTTTAGTGCTCATGATTACTAACACTCATGACTTCATGAGCTTGTTTCCCAGCTTTTCAGCTTGCTGCAGAATAAGAAAATGACCACATAAACTCAAAAAAGCAAAACCTTTCAGAAGAAAAGAATAATTTAATGCAGATTGGGGGAAACATGAGAATCAGGCTCATGGGACTACTTCACAGATTGCTCAATGTTTTATTTGATACTTTTAAACAATATTTTCTTTAGTAATATCATTATAGCCTGATTAGAATTTTTCTGCTGACTACAGGATCATCCCAAATTCCTGTCTTACATTCCATGTCATGCACAAAGTCTGAAAATTTCCAAAAAAAACAAGCTGAGATAAGATGAATTGGAATTTATAGGAAATTATTTGTTAATTGATGATGCACAAGATTTGACAATCCAGATATTTCTAAAAAAACTGGAAGCTTGTTATCCCTTAGAGTGTGATCACAGGCACACAACGTCGAGCTGTGCTGTAACAATTGGCTTGTGAGAAGTTAGTCGAGACCTGATATTTTAAATACAGGTTCTCTCATCTCCTGCACCATGTACCTGTATTTAGAAATGAGGCTCCACACCCTGGATATCGTTCCAGGCTTTTTTTACTTGTATCCTTCCCCCTGCAATTAATATCACCCCCAGAAAGGAGCTGGTTTCACCAGCTGGAGCTGCTGTGAACTGGGACTGCTTTCTTGCACACCTCCAACCTGTGAGTTCAGTTTGAGAACAGCTATTGCAGGCTCCACCTTTTCCCTAATAAACATATAATGGTTCCAAAATACCTTCAGGCTTTCTGTCCTTCACACTAGGAAGGATGAGAAAGTGTTGCCAGAAAGATGTGGGTATTAAGAGCATCGTTCATTATGCATCATCAGATTTTGGTTGCATTTATCAGAGCAAGAGCAATTTCCAGTTTGTAGATGCAGGGACCTATGTAGGTTGTTTTACATTGGAATGAATCTTCTAGATTTTGTTAATAAGAGAATTTTTTTTTTCCTCCTTTTTGGTTTCTAAGTGATACAGGCTCAACTTGGGAGAACTTGATTCACACCTTGCCTTGCTATGCAGGTGTTTCTGGAGGCAGACTGAGCTGAAACCAGAGAAAGACTTTCTTAGAGGCATGCTGGTTATAATAGAAATAAGTTAGAAAAAGATGTTTGTATGCTCATTACCTTCTCTTGGATCATTATGGAAAAAAAAACAAAGGCTTTGATTTTTGCCATTTCCACTAGATGGACCCCTGTGTCTTCTGTACTTGCATGTGACAGTAAGCCATTACCTTTCCTTTGCAGATCTTCCCTGCCTCTGCCAGTGCAAACCCTGTGATAGACCACTGCACATCTAAATGAGCACTGAGCAGCTTCCAGTTCTGTAGGGAACATGTTCTGGCTGCAGGTGTTGGGAGTGAAACAAGTGAAAGAAAGCCCTGAACAGCTGAGAAATACTGCTTGCAGAGTGACTTGAAGCTGGAAAAACTTCCTTTGCTCTCCTCCTCCCTCTGTAGAGCTGCATGCCACCTGTAGCAAGAGAAAAGGATGTGTATTGGAGCAATCAGGGAATAAAGTCCATGCATTTTGGACTTGAATATCCCTGATGAGGAAATCACTTCTAAACTGCTCAATTTACCATACAAGTTATTCCTATTTCAGGAATAATCTGTGAAGAATTGCTATACATGGTTTATCTGGGGAAGAGGGATGATAGAAGCTCTTTTTGTCTAAATTATATGGACCCTTTAAGCTGGTCCAGCACACAGAACCCTTTTGTTTCTGTAATTGATTCTATCCAAGTCAGGGAAAAGAAATGTGTCTTTGGCTGAAAGAGAAAAAATACTGAAGAGCTGCATCATATTTCCTAGGTACAGTCACACCATAGCAACAGTTGTCTTTCAGTGCTGCTTCTGCATCACTTAATAGTTCTCAGATTGCTGAGAAAGCCACAGTCCATTCTGCTGTAAAACTTGCTGCACGTGAGCTGACACTGTTTGCAGTTAATTACAAGAAAAACGTACATATAAAGCACTTTTTTTTTTTTCTCACAACAGCATGTCGTGTTATTTCTCTCCTTTAAAAGGAATTTTAATGGGAAGCTTATTGGTAGGAGTGATTTGGTTTGATAAGCTCTAATGAAATATTTTTTTTGAGGGGGAATTTTTATTATGTGTGTGGAAAATAATAAAAAATCCCAAACTGTGAGAAAGGATTATTTTTTATTTGAGTTACTGTAAAAAAAATAAAATAAATGGAAGACATACTGTTCCTTTCAGTATTTTTTCAGAATAAATAAATATTTTGAATGCATTTCAAGATAGGAATTTAAACATAGTATTTCAAGCACCAAAATTAAAACTTTTGATTAACTACATTTTCCTTTTTTTTTTAAAAAAAAATGTTCAGTTTATGCAAATGTCAACTCTATCTAAATTCAAGTCAGGAAAAATGTTTGAAAATTCTTCTGAGATGAGAAAACTTTTCCTGCCTAGCTCTGTTCTCCTTATTATATATTAGCACTGCCTGGCTCCCTTTGTTGGGTGTGCCTTTTTTGTCATATGAGAACTTACATGGGAAATTAAAGCACACTTTCTGATTAATTTAAGATGATCAAAACACACTGTCCCTCCCCCATTGAATCTCTCCAGGTTTTAACATAGATCCCAGTGGTGGGCACTATGGAGTTACAGATTAAAAGTTCATGAAAATTGAATTACTTCTGTAAAAGATGCCTGTATGTAAAAACAGAGGCTGAGACAAGAGGCTTGCACTCTGACTGCTCGTGCTGGGTCTTTTCTGTGGTTTTCCATTCTGTAGATGTCAGTCCAGCTCCTTCACAAGCGCTGAAAACATGATACATTAAACAAAACAAGTGGGCTATAAATGGCCCATGATTCATGGGTGATCTTGGTTTGTCAGTTCTCACTGCTGAGAAGCACTTCTGGTATTTGCACAATGATGTAAATTATTGCAGTGTGAGAGCATTAGCAAAGTGCCCTGTGAGCTGTGGAAGATCCCGTTGCTGGCAGTGTTTGTGCAGCCCAATAAAATGCTCTAATCTCAGGCTTGATGGTGTTGCAGCAGCAGAGGAACCCACTTATTCTGAGGAAATACCAATGTATGAAATAGAGAATCAAAATGCCGTGTGCATGTGGATGCCCTGGCTGTGCAGCTGAGTTTGGAGCTGGGTCTTCATTTCCCGTGTTAGAAACAGCAGCAGATGATTGTGAGCATCACCTTATACACGGGTGGATGGAGGAGGAAACACTATGTGCAGGGGGGCTGACCTGTGGCTCTGTGGTGCAACAAATCAATTAATAGTTTCTATTTCTTTTTTTCCCTTTGTGTACAGCTAACGAGAGAACACCAGGTGGCCCTCTCCTCCATCACTTACATTGGCTGTGCTCTGTCCATCTTCTGCCTGACGATCACACTGGTCACATTTGCTATATTGTCGTGAGTAATTTTAACTTAATACCTGCTGAGCATCTGTGGTGCAGAAAGCCAGGCAGTGCATTGCAGGCTACCGGGTAGAGTACCTTCAGGTGCTCAGGATAAACCAAAAGCTATTAATTCTACAACCTTCCTTAATTAGATTCTGCAGATGTGTTTGTAACACTTGGTTGGTTATTTCTAAATTACTTTCATTTCCTGAAATGGAGAGGACTTTATGTAGCAAGCTATTTCCTCCTATGAAGGATTGCTGGATTTTCTTTAAACTCTCCCATGTTTCACTATCATTCAGGAATCTTGTAAGGATGCTGTAAGAGCTCAAAACAAGGACAATATGAACAAGGACTGCAGAATCACCCTCTTTTCCCCCCCTACATACATCTTGGGATTGCCTGGAGCATACAATCAGTAGTTCCTTCAGCTTTCCAACTGTCTTGTCTGTAAGGCAATATGCTTATAAAGGGAAGCCCAGAAAGAAAGGCTTGGTCAACATTAGCTGCCTCGTTTTTATTTCGTAGAGCTTGTACACAGTTACATTTATTTTCAAATACCTCACTGTTCTCTAGTAGGTTAATTTTCTAATGTGTTGCTTTAGCAGGATGGATGACACTATAGGCAGTGTGAAATTCTCTCCATGGCTTATGTTTAAATCCTCTGGATCTCTGCAGCCTCCTGCCGGTAGCACAGCAGCCCCTTGGAGGGCTGTCTGTGCTGGGAAGGTTTCTGGGGTCTCTAGGGCTGTTTATATTCTAGTAGTGACAACTGAATTTGGTTTGAGGTTCAGCTAGGCATGGTACAAACATTTGTGGAAAAACTTTTGTAGAAGTTTCCGTCTAAATAAAACCTAGAAAACATGACAAAGGGTCAAGCAACTTGTCTGAGGTTGCACAGCAGACTGGGAGCAGAGCGAGGAATGAGATTCTTGTCTCCTTTCACACACTAAACTATGTTCTTCCTACTTAAGAGTTCAATTTTTGATTTCTGTGCCTAAGCATGTCTTTTGGACATCCTGTTAAGAGGCCAGTTTCTAGGAAAAAGGGCTTGCTGAAACCTAGTAAATTGATTGCAATCTTTGTTTGTTCCAAACCCCATATTAATTCCAAGTGTCAAGATCTGTGCTGGTCATACTTGGATTAAGTGTGTACCGTGTGGCAAAATCCACTCTTAAATAAGTCCAGCATCTGCCTGTCTAACATTGCCCTGTTGGCATGTTTAGGCTAAGCAGCTCCATTTTTATCTGAGTGCAAAACTGGATATTACAGTGTTTAGAAAGGAAAAAGGAGCAAAAGGAGACGGTGTAGCTGCAACAGGGCTGAAAACACCTCAGGACACTGGAGGCAAAGAGAAGACTTGGAAATAGAGCTTGGACTCAGCTGACTGCCACAGGGTTAAGCACCCCACCTACATCCAGGATCATTCAGCTTGCCAATTAAAAATAATTTGAAAAGGTTTTCACTGGAGAGCAGGGCCTCATTAAACAGCTGAAGTAAAATTTTGCAATGTAGTGTTAGATGACCATGAGGTAAGTGGAGAGGAATCTGGCAAGTTCTTTGCTGCTCCACGTATTGGCAACAGTGGCTGCTTCCCAGGAGGACAGTCCTGATTGCCTTCTGGGTAACGATGTTCCAGTCTGTCACTCCATGCAGTTCCTTATTAGAAAGCCATTGGCACCAGGCAGTGCCACTTGCCTCTTTGAACTACTTTTAGGACATCAGTACTTCTTGTCGTCTCCCTCTTCACTCCCTTCTAATGGAACACTGAGTGCAGCAGTGCTGGAAGAGGAGGGCTGACAGCAAGTCTTCGTCTGCATGGTCCAGCCCCTGCCACCCTGCTGCAGGTGGCACACGATGTGTCACCAGCAGCTGCAAAAGCCATCACTGTGCAGCATGATGCAATGAAAAGATGGGAGTGTTTAGTGTTGTGTGGAGGAAGTACTGCCATTCACATAGCCACATGGTCCCTGAAATGAGCAAGGCTGATGGTAGGGGCTGGCAGGCAATATGGATTGACAGAGAAGACCTGTTATTGCTAGTACTGCTCTGTTTTTTTAACAAGGAGAATAAAATTATGCGACAGGCATGAAGTGTTCAGATAAATGTTTTTGTTTGTTTTCTGCTTCCTATTTCTGGATGAGAACAGAAACACGAGATCAGAAAAATCCCAGGAAAACATGTTCTTGTCAGATTTCCAGCCGGTTCCTGCAAAGCCAAGAGAGATACGTTCAAACGATGTTGTAATCAAGGTCAGGTCTCTGCCGAGACAGGCACTGCCCATCTGTATAAGTGGTGGAAGGAGTGGTCAAAAAAATCATGATAACTCTACCAAAGAATAACCAAAAGCCAATCCAAATGCTTGCCAATAAATCATAAATATGTTGCTTTTGAACATTTAGTCATGTGTCTTTGTATCTTCTGCCAGGTCCGTCAGCACCATCCGCAACCAGCGCTATCACATCCACGCCAACCTGTCCTTTGCTGTCCTGGTGGCTCAGATCCTGCTGCTCACCAGCTTCCACTTCAGTCCTGGGACAGTAAGTGCTGAAAGGAAGGAGTGTGCTTTTTGCTAGCACCTCTGTGGAATCAGGGCCATGTGCCACATGCAAGAAAGTGTTTTGCATATGAGATCTCCTATTTTTTACAGGCCTTAGCCAAAAATGACATTCTACCACAAGGATAAAACCTTCTGTGCATCCAAATAGTGTTATCATGGTATTGAGCCATGTCTGGATGTCTGCAAAACTGAAAGAGCTGTGCCCCCCTCAGACAGAAAAATCAGCGTAGTGGTGCAGTAGGTGTTTCAGTTGTGTGTTCAAATGGCACAGCTGACTTGCCTGACATGGTTTATGCCTTCTCCCATTCATCCTCTGTATGGAAAAGTGTAGGACTTCTGTACTGAAGAAAATTGTACGAATTTTCTATTTAGGTAAAGTATTTGTATTTCTGTTATGGTCATGCTCTGTTTTTTGGGGGGAACGAGAGTTTTTTTTTTTAATCATCAATTCTCTGCTATAGTACAGTTTGTCTTTTTTTTCCCACATTAAAAGGCCATTTTATTCATGTTGGAAGATAATGAGCTTCTTGACAGACCTGTGGCAATTTCTTCTGCTTTCTTGGAGAGCAAAACAGAAGGTCTTTGGTTTCTTTGCTCGTAAAGTTTTATTTGTGTGGCAGGAAAAGCTGGCTTTCTGAACAGCAAATTTATTGTATTACTGTGTAAGAGTTTAATCCAAGATCCTCAGTGTCATAAAACATGTGCATACTTCTCTGGACATCTAAGGCAGCTGCTTAAGGAAATGACAAACACCTTCATATTGCTTACATGGTGCTTAAACTCTGTGCATGTATAGGCTTTTTTTGCCTCATCACATAGATCAGAATTTGAAATTACAAATTGATTTTATGGATCTGCTACTACAGGTGGGAATTCCTTATGCAGGGTACCAGGATCTAAAGCATTAAAACTGGCATCTAAACGAGCTGAGTTAGATTAAGATGAATATGCCAAGTTAACAATATTGTTTACCAGTGAAACCAATTTGTTTCCACCAATTTGTTTTAAAAATGCTATTTAAAGTAACATAAGGTTTGTTGATTGAAAGTCACACTTGCAAAAAGCAGAAACCAAGCCTAATTTTAAAATAATCCTCCAGTGTGCTCTGTTTTTGTAATGCTCAAAACTTGGCTACTTCAGTGACCAACTGTTGCTCCACATCTGACAAGCAATGAGCAATTTCTAGTAATCTTTCTGTTCTCAGTACAAGTAAATACAAGTAAATACAAATACCTGAGGATCTAAAAGCACTTTGTAAAACTAAGTTCACACTCTTTTTCTGTTTAGCATTCAGGTAGGTCCTGAATGATTAAGGTAATGGACAAGGAAGAAAATGATAGGGAATGGTTTAGAATGAAAATGGAATGGAGACAGTGGAAAGCAGCAAAAAATACCACTTGAAACTGAAGACAGCAGAAACAAGGCATTAAAATAATCCTTTCTGAGTATAGAGTCAAAACTCTGCTGAAAGGACATAGGCTTGAGGACAACAAAAAATTTGTTCAGCATAACAGGGTGTCTTTCTCACAGGTTTTTCCTTTTTCATCTGTTCCAGATTTTTGGACACTCCGAGTGAGTTATTTCAGATAATACGTAAAACCTCTTTTCACATTATCAAGGCCAGTGTCACCTCCACTCTTTTAAAATACCATGGAACATTAGCTCCATGTCCTGTTTTCAGTTGGATGTAGTCAGAGCCTGTGTTCTCTGGAGACCTGCCCCAGTGTCCACCTACACTGCCTTGCAGAAGTGTCTTGCTTATTTAGTTAAGCAGATGTAGTTAAGCTTATGGAACGTTCACATGGAATTAAGTTGCAGTTTAATAGGTGCATGTTTTCATTAATCTTAAACCTACTTAAAACTTTAGTCAAATTGAAACAGTAGCACAGAGAGAGCAAGACCTGTTTTATGGCACAGGCTTTCTGAAGTGAAACACTTCACAGAATCCATGGATGTTCCATCCCTATCTCCTCTGTAACAACAGTAATTGTAGGGCACAACACTGAAGATCTAAAGTTGAAAAGAATGATGTACATACTGTCTTCTACCCTTTGGTGGTTTGTTTTTTTTTTTTGTGGTTTTAACCTCTTGGGATCAGGGGTGTTGTAATTCATCCTTTTATCAGTCTCCTGTCCTTACCTTCTGCATGCTCTGCTCTCACTAGCTTTGACATAATTTTTCATATCTTTAATTGCTGCTTTAATTGGACTGCTAAATGGTAGCTTACAAAAAGAGAGGCAGTATTTACACTAGAAGCTTAATCTTCTGTTTCTGCTAAAGATGGGTGTGTTTAGTGCTGAAGAGTTTAGAAGTGCCCTTGCTTGAAAGGACGAGTGGTACCAGTTGCTTGAGGAACCACAGTGCAATAGGGAATGGCACCACAGAGACAGGCCCTGAGCTGGCATCACTTCCTTGCATGGCTGCTTCTAAACTCTCCATCCTTTTCCCATCTCTGTCTTAAGGGATGTTTAGGTTTTTATTCCAGATGTAGCACACAGTATTTGCCTGGTAAGTTCAGATGCATTGCTTAATAATTTATACTACAGGAATTTTCTTTTGTAGAATGGGAGTAGTTTTTAACCACAAAACTGTATTTCCATGAATAGGACTTTGATCTTTCTAATACATCCAAGAACACTTTTTTTTTTTTTTTTTAAGGCTGGTTCTTGATACCTAACATCAGGAAGATGTTAAAACAGTAGTCCTAAATGATCATGACATATTCCAGGAGGACAGTTATTCCTGAAACCAGAATATGTTTCTTCTAGAGAAAGCACAGAGCATTTTCTTCTCATTCTGCCAAGTCCCTAAGATCTCTTTGCTATCCACACGCCAGATTAATGACTTCCCTTAGACTTTCAGCAACAGATGGATTTTTTTCTTCAGAACGGTTTGCTGTCTTAGTTACTTACTTTCTGTTATAGACTAGAGAGCACTGTTTTTTTTTTAACAGAATCCCAAACAGCAGCATATTATTAAAAATAATTAGCCATCTTTAGGCTAGTAAAGCCTTTCAAAGATCTGAGTGTGTTATGGGAGAAAGTGAAGCATTATTTAGACACAGGAAAATGCAAATTGAAGTATAGTACGTTAGGCAGCACTGTGTTTTTCCAGCACAACAGGAAAATGTGATGTATCTACAATTTGCAGTTCTGCATCAGTGAGTTGAGCTACTTCTCACTCAGTACTCCAGCATGACATTGCTTAAAACACTTCCAAACAGAGAGATGAAATTAGCTGCTTTTGTTTATGATCTATGGATCTGTAGAAATTCAAGATTGTGTATCAAAGCAGTATATAGACTGCAGGGAAGGACTTTTTCAGAGGGTTCTGTATAATGCAGTAAGATTGCCACTTAAATTGAAAACTCTATTATAAGCTGAATTTAGAAAATCTATGCAAATTTACCTATCTGTTTAAAGACTGTCCTCAGTAAACAAATGACTGTTATTTTCTGAGAGTCTTCTTTACTTTCTCAGTGACTCTAACATGAAAGGCCTTGCTACTGGCTGGACTGATTTTTCTATTTCCACAGACTCACAGGTAGTCAGCTGTAAGAATAACAGTAATGAGATCTGTCTTTTTACAGGTATTCCACCAAAAGTAGTGTGCATCATATGACACAGCAAGGGACACCTGCTTGTTTTTAAGATGTAAAGTCTCAGCTTTTCAATGCCTTTTTCAAAAAGACAATTCTGTCATTGAAGAGTATCTTCAAAGTAATGTTTGAGCCACAAATACAGAATAAGTAACAACTTTGCTATGGATTTTATTAAAAAATCTGCAGTATTAAAAAAAAATTTAAAAAATCTAGTAAAAATCTCAGTAACACACACAATTCTATATAGATCAGCCTTCTGCTACTTCACTGTGGTTTATTTTTCTGTTATTTTGTGATTCATATAGTCTGGCTACTCAAAACTTGGAAACTATGCATTTGACAGATCTAGCTTGTAAGTCAGCTTTATGTTGCATTTTTATTTCCATGGACTAATCTTCTGGTAGAAATCAAAAGGCACTAAAATGGATTTCATAGCCTTATGATAAAATTAACTGGGAAGTTTTCTACAGTTCTTGGCAATAAGGAAATCTGATTTAGTTACCTGTCACCAAACACTGCAAAATATGAAAACTTTTATATACCTCACTTACATGAATTAAAAAGCAATAACTTTCTTTTTAATTCATGTAAGTGAGATATATAAATACTCACAGTGGATTCGCATTAGAATGTCCTTGCACTAGCACAGAGCCCACTCAGTACAAGTGAGAACCTACAGGAAAGCTTCAGTTTTTGTTATACTATCAAGTCCCAATACTTTAATTTTCATTAGTGTACAAAATCCCAGAATATCAACAAAAATAATAAAATGCCAGCACAGGGAAGCCAAGCTAATATAACAAGGGGATTAATCTTCTGATTAACATCTGAAGACCACTGTGGCAGCAAACTGGTTCCTGCTGGTAATGCTTCCTCAGCACACAGACTCCACCAGCCTGGCTGTTTTACTGGGACTTATCCAGGTGAGGAAGGGAAACCTTGAAGAAGAAAAAAAAAACAAACAAATGATTCCCATTTGCATGGCCTGCATGTAAGCAATCCCTCTGAAATTCTGTAGGTGTCACAGAAGGGATGTTGCAACTACAGAGCAGAATGACCATGATCATTATGCTACAAGATGCAAAACTGAGATATAGCTGGGACTCATTCCAAAAGCATGTTTAAAATGTGCCTTAACTGAAAGCAAACCAAACAAGGTTATCCTGTGGTAAGATCACTGGCAGTCACATCTGTTCAATTACTGTATGATGAGCAAAGCCACTTGTAGTGAGACATCCTCGAAAAGCAATTAGTGGGGAAAGGAGAGTGTGCTGTGTGAATACGTGAGGAGGAGGGGAGAGGAAAGGATTAGGTTTCCTGGTTTTGTAAGGTAGGCTGATAGGAGACTTGGAGAAAAATGTAAAGATCTCTTTGAGGAACATGTTAAGGAAAAGTAAAGGTGTTAAACCTGTACTGCATTCCCCATAGCCCTCAGTGGGCCGTAAGTATTGAGGTGGGTGTAGTGGGACTCAAGACCCTTTTTTTAACTTCTTGCTGCATTGCCTTAGTCATGGCATTCCTCTCTTCTGAGGCAGCATTTGTTTTACCTCAAAACATGTTAAAATTGAAACATATAGTCCAGTTTACACCAAGTGGTCTCACTTTCTAGATGCTAGTTTTCTGTTGCTTAAGCTTTCATATTAGCTCCTATTTCCAGATTCTTGAGAGCATATAGTGAATAGAGGACTATGAAGGAGTATTTGAATTGTCTGTAAACACCCTACTGAGACTTTTGTTCGTTCTCTTAATCACTAGATATGTTCTTGTCAAGTATGACTTCATATACAACTGGTACATCAGACTGTGGGAAATTGAGAATTCAAACAGGTGGCAAACTGGATGCCCACCACAGAGCAATTAGGAGCCAAGAGCAAATGACAGCTTGCTATAATTTTTGAAATGTCTATATTAGTATTACTGATGGACCATATGAGATTTTGACAGAATTTCTAATCAGAACAGGCAGATAGTGGAATTCAAAATGTGATTTAATTTGTGTGTTATCCTATTTTTGATATGAGGAACGGCAAAGTAGGAAAGACACATGGTGAAGTGTAACTAAAAAGCAGGTTCAGCAAGGCACCTTATTTAAAAATTTTCATTTTTCACTCAAGCCTAACAGATCCACTGACTTCCTGCCAGTTCTTTTTAGAAAATGAGGTATGCCTATACTAGTTTTTCTACCATCACAGGACAAGAAGTAGAGTACAGGACAATGCCTGTACCCCCACTTCTTTGGCTGTCCTATATTTACTACACACTCAGAAACCGGATTTGTTTCAGTTTGCCATTCTTAAATATTTTGTAGACTTTAGTAACTGTATTGCTCCTACCATTACAAATAAATAATCTGGATTTCCACATCACATTTGGCAATATTTTGTTGTTGTTGTTAAAAGGTAAGAGGATGTATTATTCTGAAGCTAACTGAAAACCATGTAGAAAAGCAAAACTCTCTGGTGCATTGTTTTAAAGTCTGTTTTGCTGCAGTGATTTGCCACTTAGCATGTAAATGTATACAGAAAAACATAAAAAATTAGAAAAACAATGTGACTGCATCACAAAGAGGTAATGTGTTAATTTTTATTCTTAATGCAGGTGCCCTGCAAGATCTTGGCCATTCTTCTTCATTTTTTCTTCCTGAGTGCTTTTGCATGGATGCTGGTGGAAGGATTTCACCTTTACAGTATGGTGATCAAAGTATTTGGGTCAGAAGAGAGCAAGCACTTATATTATTACGGAATTGGATGGGGTAAGCATTTAGTAGCTGCTTGCTTTAAGTCTTCTCACTGTTGGACAAGATTACATTCAGAGCCATATGTAAAATTTTTACCTTATGATCATAGTTTGCCTTGCTGAAAGTGAGTCTGTTTGGTAAGAAAATGTGTAATTTTTTTGACTGTAACCAGATTTTAAAATTTGTAGACCCTAAACCAAATTCCACTGCAGTGAATACCATGACCTCACTAGGCCAGATCAGATCCTAAATTACCAAGTCAATACCAGGAATGTGGGAGGGAGGTCTCACTGCACTGCTATGTTCTTTATTTGGTTCTGACTGACAGCACTGGCTTATTCTGTTTGTATTCTGCTATCCATACATGAAAAAGTGTCACAGCGGCACTGGAGTATCACAAGACATCATTTGTTGATGTTTTATGCCTTGAAACCCTTAGATGAAAAAGGCTGCAAGGAACCTCAATATTATTACTAAGAATAAAAAAGCAGTCCTATGGTACACAAATCTCACAGATAATAATTCAATGCTTTTTAAATATGGTAGTGGTAGCAAAAGCATAATCTGTGTGTGTACTGAAGAGTCAAAACTGAGAATTTTGTCTAGCAAGGTAGCTTGCTTTCACTGTCCTGCAAGTAGAGCAGTGATGATTGATAGAACTTCACATTTAAAAGAAGAAAACCTCACACATAGAGTCAAAATGAGAAGTGTAAAAAGATAGCAAATAAATATCTATGTAAATACAGATAATTTCAAAATATTTAAAACATACACTATCTGTGTGTTGTTTCCTTCCCCCAGTTAATTTGGAAGCTGAATGAAAACCATTAATACCAATAATGCAGACCTACTGCAGTCATAATTGGAACATTTAATACCTATTGACACCATGCAGATCCAGGTGATAGTGATGTTGTTCATGTATAGGTATTTCAACAGCTGCCCACTTGTCCTTCTCTTAATATGGCCTTTTTATTCTCTACATCATTCCTCTTTAATTTTTGAATCTTCTTCTTAGCAGTTCTATCTAAGGCTAATTGATCCGGTCCTTTGGTGAACACAATATCTGCTGGATTGAGGGGAAAAACTGCAGTTTGGTTAATTACAATTCTTCTTCTTGCCCTCATTGTTTCTTCATGACAAGTCAAAGAGTATCACATAAAAGTGTCCTTAATCTAGTTGCTTTAAGACAGTTTTTTCTCATCAGGAATGGCCAATTTGCTTGCCAACAATACGCACCTTAAAGCTTTGGTTATTGAAAACATTTGAAAGCTGTTTTGCTGAGCTCTTAGTAGTTGTGTGAAACCTACATTTTCTTCCCTCTCTCCCCCAAACCACTAGTCAAGATAGGAGTAATTAATCTTTTTCTTGCACATAGACACAAAAGACAACCTAAGCAGGCTGAGGGTTGAAGACAGTGCAACTTTGTAGATTCTTGTAGATTCAGCATTAAATGTAGTGAAACCTGCTGATATTAGAGAGGTTTCTTTTGGATTTATTTAATCCAGAGCTCATGGAATACAAATCCAAGTGGATCAAACCAAAGAAAATGTTCTCATAAGCCCCTAAGAACTCTTTCTCCTTCAGAAATATTAAGTAAAAAAACACAACAGTTTTATAATAAAATAGTTAAGAACTGCCATTTAATTCACTGGGGTATTTGCTTATAGCAGATGCTTTGATTAACTCAATTTACAATCAATCCTTAATTACCTCATTAAAATAAATTAATGATTTATGTGTGCTGCAATGCACCTTTGCCCTTTTTTTTCCCCTGGTGTTCTGTGTTAAGGTTTATTTATTGTAAAATGGCAGTGATCTACAGAGTGATTTAGAAGACACAAGGATAAGCACAGCACCTGACTGATATGACTAATATTAAATGTTGCATTTTGCCTCAGTTTATTACAATATGATTGCTACCACTCAATTAGTAGTAATTAGCACAATGAGTACATAGCCTATTGGTACATAACCCAACGGGATGTTAAATGTGGTTACTAAAAAGTCTCTTCAGTGCTATTTAGAGTAATGCTTTGGAGTCCCTATAGTATATATTTGCCATCGAAATAGGTGTACGTAGCAAAATACAGGAGGTACCAGCAGTAGAAGTTTCTATATCCATTCTCCAGCAATGTTCTTTGTGGCAAGGATTGTGTAAGCAACCTGATGGCAAGGGCTGTTTCTTAAATGTAGCAAAGGTACTGTTGGAGATGGATGGTGGAAGACATCAGCCACACAACAATAATACATTTCTCCACGTAAAACTTTCAAACCCCCTGTTTTGATAAATAATTTATTTTTGGAAAGCACATTCCAATTATTATCCTTACAATGACTCGGGGAAAAAGTATTTTCTGAAATCCACTAAATCTTCCAGGTTGCTTGGAAAGTAGTTTGTATTGCTTTATTTTTTTTCTGTGTAGGTCAAAAGCATTTACTTTTGAGTTAAATGTTGCATTTCCTTAATCACATCTGACATCATGTCACTGCTGTAAGTGTACCTAAACTTTGCTGAAGTAATTTAACTAGGCAACTGCATTTCAAATTGTTTATCACTTGATAAACATCAGGGCAACCTTCCTTCAGTCAACAGCACCTCCACTCACTGTCTGGCATGGAACTCTAATGCTCATTCAGTTGGTGGTAGGTGTTGCTGAATAATGATGGTTTTAGAGAGAAAATTCACACTGTAGTGTTCAGCATTCCCTGCTTAAAAGCTTAAAAGAACACCCAGGTTTCTCAGTTCCCCACTTTCTCTTTTGCTAGCATATTGGCATATAATATGGACAGAAATGTTTAATTAAAGACCAAGTGTCAGTACTGCCTTCAGCAGCAGTGTGTACTCATAGTCTATGGGGTAGAGTTTGGGCTGTTCCTTCATGGACTTGATGAAAGTACAATAGAAAGAAGTTATATGTATTCCATAAAATTGTTGCATAGGAAATAGAAGTCTTGCAAAGCTGGGGAAAGAGGCTGAAAAGGTTTTATCCTAAAATTATTTTGTGTGGCTCTTAAAATGAAGGGGTAAATTTGCATTTGAATGTAACAGTTTAAAGGAAGTTGAGCAATTTTGTGTCATCTTGAGACCATAATAGATACACATTTTCCAGTATCTAATAAAAATGGCCATGCTGTTTTACACATTGACTTAACTAATTATTATACTGACCAAAGATAGCTGAAAGAAGTTGAAGACAAGAATGTTTCATCTCATGTTAGTCAAAACATAGTTTTTTTCTTAGTATTTTTTTCTTTTAACTGATGTGTGGATGCATTTGACATTTGCAAATTCATAGTTCCTGGAGTAATGAAAAACCTCAGTTCTTAATTTAACCCCCCAGACCTATAATTCTTTTTTAAGCAAAAAAAAAACCCCAAAGGGCTAGGTAAATGTATAAGAGTTTGCGAAGTCTATATTAATGACAAATTGAAGTTGGAGGAAATGAGAGAAGACAGGGACAAGAAACTCTACACTGGGTACCACTGATCTAAAACCTATTGAGATTTCTGAGAGATATTACTCCTGTAATATGAATTCAACAGCAATCAGAGAGACAGGATACCAAATGTACAGAGCTGATTCAAGTTCCTGTGTGTTATCTTTAGTCCCAAGAGTGCTAAAATTACCTCAAAGACTACAGTTGTCAGGAATTCAAAGGAAAAACAATTTGAGGAACCTTTAAAGCTACCTTGAGATTGATGAAAAAAAACCCCAACTTTGTTGCCTTGGTGATTCAGCATAAAACACCAAATTATTGTAGAAAAGCTTTTCCCATCCACTCATTTGTAGGACACTGATGATACAGTTTGTGATACTGAAGATTTTGCTATGGCACTTTGGCCTTAACATGTTTTCCTATTTCAGACAATTTCCTTTCCTTTAGAGACTTTTCTGAGCTGTCAAAAGACCAAAATTTCTTTATTTGCTGTTGCTTGATGTAGTCCCAGGCTTCTGCATAGTTATGGTCTAACACACAGCAAAAAAAAATCACAGAAAGTTAAATTCCACAAAACAAAGGGAAGAATACACTTTTCCCAATCAAGTAAAATAAAAATTTTCAGTTTTGGAAGGAAATCTACATTCATGTCTAATGCTTCATCTTCCTCAATAAATGACATATTTCACCTTTTAGAATTAATGCCTTAAAATTGCTTCATATTGTCTGCCACAGTTTCTATGGCCTGCCTATTTTCTTTTGCTATGCGCAGAAAACACAGAAGTGCCAAAACACAGCATATGGATTTACAGGCGTTTTCCATTTTGTTTATCATTAGTGCCCCAGAAACTTAAAGCAAATGGATTGGATGTGGAGTTTAATGCTGAATAAGAGGACCTAGCTGACATTCATTTTTGGCTTTACCCTAGTGACTGTATTTGGGCTGAATTCAGGGAAAATTCTGTCTGAGTAAGGATTGTGTTATTTGGCTTCCTGTGCCAAGTACTGGGAGCTTATGCCTGCTCTGTGGGTTATGTTTTGGTGTTGGATTTGGGAGGTAGCTGGCTTGAGGACCTGGAGAACTTGAGCTGGAGCAGCACATGGCTCTACGTGGGTTGATTTACCCCGTTTGAATGAGATGCTGTAATGCTCTTGGACTACAGAGACACCGATGACATTAGTGCCATAGATCAGCTGCCAGAAAAGGTGTGCTAGAACATCTTCCTCTGCTACAGTGCTCTGGGAAGCACAATCTATTACATCATAAATTCAGTGATTTGGAATCGGGTTGGTGAGCGAATCTGTAGCATCTGCTAGTACTGAGAAAACATTCAGGTACAGTAAAAAGCCATAACCATAATTCTTTCATGGATGATCACCAGTGCCAGCACAACATTAACATTGCCTATTATGGGTTCAAACTAAATCTCACAGCTCTCATGTAATTATTACTGACAAAAGATTAAGCAAACAGTTACTTTTGTGTATAATGTATAATCTGTATGAATTCTTCAGGCCAGATCAAATCTTGTGATCCCCTTAGACTAAATATATTTTTTTCAACCTTTATGGAATTTATTGGATGGCTGTGTCTTAAAGGCAAAATACTCCAATTTCACTGTAACAAAACCTTGACTTTGGCTCCATTGCTGTTCCCCATTTAGTATCTTGTTAATGCAAAGAAAAGGCAAACATGGCACTATAGGCTGCAGACCATTTTATTCTCACTGACTTAACAGCTCTTTTTGTGCAGATGACTGCTCTATGTTTCATCTGCATAAGTTTTATTATCTTCCAAGGGAACTCTGTATTTAATCTTCTTCTTCACTGCCATTTAAAATTGATAAAGAGTCATGCTAAATCCTTTGAATATCTAGCATTTCACTTGAGGAAAAAAAAAAAAGGCAGACTCTAGAAGAATAAACGAGAGTTAGGCACAGGTATTTTTGCTTCTGTGACAAAGTCTCTGGCGTGGGAAGACAACTTGCATCAGAAGATAAACAGTGTCCATCAACAATGTCTGCTCAGCAACCAAAGGTGTGACTAGGAATGTGTAGACATATCTAAGGGACCTTTAGTCCAGGTAGCTCACATACCCATGGCAGACTGACTTTCAGCACACAGACTTATGTCTGTGATTAATTGCTCCATTGAATATAATCAATCTTGATCCTCTTCAAATGTGTGTATGAATTTCCCTTCTTAAATAGGCAAATGTGAATAAACTAAAATTTTGGCTTTGCTTAGGTCTTATGCAAATGTTACTTCTAAGGTGTTTTTCCTGATTTGGACAAGCATGAGAAAGCAAAATCAACTTTATGGGATATTAAACTCCATCCTGCAGATTGGATTTCAAGGTCTAAGACCTAAACAATGCTTGTAGATGTTGCTTCTTAAGCGCTGAGTATCGTTCTTATTTATATACAGGGTGTTTCTAGCTACAGTCATTACGAAATGAAAACACTTCTTCCAAAAATTATAGGTCTGTCATGACAAGAAAGTTTTACAGAATTTTATGGGGATGATACTGGTAAGATTGAGGAGAAATTGTTTGTCAGAGGATTATGTAAAGCCTCATACAGAAAATTGAAAGTTTAAGCTATCCTGTATAATACTCTGTCTGGGACCCGGTTATTAAATTCCATAAGATGATAGAACTCCAAATCTTCACACTTTGTTAAATCATACAGGAATTAACAGACAATGGTTTAATATTTAAAGGGTTGAAGTTTTACTTTATTCGGAACTGTTGGCAAGAAAAGCCTCATTCCTCCCGTGCCCCTTTAGCACAGCTTTCCAGGCTGGGAGCTGAGCAGGCCAGTGCTGGGGGCCAGGGACATGCAGCTCCCCCTGACAGCAGGACCATAATTGCCTGCCTGTGCCTAAGTACCATAAAGCACTCCTCCACCTCCCAGGGTGCAGCACACTGGAGCTGTCAAAACCCATCTGGAAACTTAGTCTGCTTTAATCACAGAAACCTTGTAGAGCTATTACATATTTATGTTAAAATAAGTCTTGGTTGGGCATCTAAGGGGGTCTGAATTTGCTTCTATCTCTCCATAACTGTCTCTTGCTGGTGTGTGTGGTGCTCTGGAGAGCTGAATGTCACCATCCCTGTCCTCCCAGCCATGCACCCCTGGGAGAAACTCAGCTTTGTTTCTAGATTGTTTGGAACTCTTGGAGCAGGTGCACTTACCTGGGGGAAAGTGGTTAAAATAAGTCTGATACGGCTTCACAGGGTATCACTGCTTGAATAGCAAGAGCAGATATTGCACAAACCAGTCTGAGAAGGGCTGTGATTCTCCTTGAAATCAGCACTAATTCCGTTTAACTGTTATAGTGCTTTATTGAAAAGTCATTCTGTTTGTCTGACATAAATTGATTAAAGCCTTGTATTACCCAGCTGCAGGAGGATATCAAGTTAGACTTAATTCTAAAATTACTCTGAAGTGTTCTGTTGTCCATGCAAAATTTAGCTGAGCTTGCAGGGTTTACTGGAAAATGTACTTTTGTTGCTAATACTGCCTCTGACTTTGCCTTTTTACAGGCTGCCCATTGGTGATTTGTGTCATTTCTGCAACATCATCCCTAGAGAGCTATGGAGAAAGTGGCAAGTGAGTATGGAAATGTCTTCACTGCAGGTCCAATAAGGATGAAAAAAATCTGATGGGTATAAAAACTCATAAATCTGTTAACAAGGCTATAGCTCTGCAAGGTGATGCTGAGGAGCAGGGGAGAGAGCCTACAAAAGCACCACAATTGTATAGGCGTATTCTTAAGCCTAAGAGCCTCAGGTTTGCTCTTCACTGCTGAGATGATGCACAAAAAGCTCCTGAGATGTTTTGCCTATTTTCCCCCTTTTGTTGCAGAGGTCTAAGGTGTCCTACAGTGAGCACCCTGCTCAACCCACACATGAAGTAAAGCGTGGGTGGAAACATTTCTTACTAGATGAGAATAATCTTTGATAAAAGATATTTAATGTTTTGGAAAAAAATGCAATTAAATATCTGAAGAGCTAGAATGGATATTGTTAAAATTTTTGAAAATTAAGTTCCTTTCTAATTTGGAAAAAGAAAAACAAATTTATCTGAAAAAAACCAAACCAAACCAAACCAACTCAAAACAGATCGTAGGGTTCAACCCTATCATAATGTAAGCAAAAGATCTGGAGCAAGGGTTGTTTTTCATGTGTGAAGTAGCTTGAGTTGCCACTGCTGTGTGAAAGACACGTGGAGCTGACAGCATGTTTCCAGCCTCTTCCTCCTCACCAGCCAGGCAAGGCAGGGAGGGCTTCAATTTGTCTCCTGTTACGATGACAGTGCTCACAGCACTGAAATGACTGCCTGTGATACAGCAGACAAGAACAACAAATAGCAAATAAACCCTTTCCTCCCTTCCCATCCTTCCACCCCTAATGCTCTTGGAAGGCGTACTGGGGCAGATTTCTGTCACTGTCTCTCTGCAAGATACAAATCAAAATGAGCTCCTGCCTCAGATCCCCTGAGTGTGAGGGGCAAAGGAGCTTCTGATTGCTGCTCTACCATGTCTCTTGCTTTCAAAATTCGTCAATCTTTTTGCACTCTCTTTTAGTCCTTTGTTTAAAAAACCATTACTAATTAAACGACCCTATGTTTCACCTAAATTCATTCTAATTTTTCCCTGCAGCTGCTGGCTTTCTTTAGAGAATGGAGCAATCTGGGCTTTTGTGGCACCGGCGTTGTTTGTCATTCTGGTAGGTAAAGCACAGCTGCTGCTGGTTCCTCCTTGCACGTCTGTGTCAGCCAGGCAGCAGAACCAGCCCAAGGTCTGGTGGCAGGCCTTGGGCCAGGCCAGTAAAACAACAGAGGGGAATGGTCCAGAATTGCCTTGCTCTTCCTCTGATTTTCGTCTTGTACGTGGTTGGGTATTAATTTGTGTGCATTAATTCTCACACTATTCATTTCACTATTCCAAAACAAAGATGCAACCTAAAAACCTGGGACAGCCCTCTTCTGAAACCACCCTGTTGGGGCCATCAATAACTGTGTGGAACCAAGTAATCTTGGGAGTTTTAATAATTCTCAGAAAGATTTCCCAAAAGAACAAACTCTGTGGTTTGTGTTTCATACACACCAGTAACAGCTGAAAGGCTGATTCCACCCCACTGGTATTTGAAACTTTTGCTTTTCCAAGTGCCCCCAGTGGAGATGATCATCAGCAGAGTCTGCAAGCAGTCAGCAGCTACCCAGAATGGGGCTAAACAGTGGCCTGAGCTGGCACCCTTTGAGTGAGCTGAGGGCAGGTAACAAGCTGCCTTGAGACCTGTCTTCTCACAGTGACAAGGAATTTGTGCTGTTCCTCTGATTTTGAACTCCCTGTTGGGTTTGGTGGTTTGTCCATCTGATCAAGGCAGGGCTGTTAGAGTGAGGTTGCCAGGGTTCAGGTGGCTGCTGCAAACCCCTCTGCCAGCCACGATGAATATCCTCTCTCCAGGGGAGGCTGCAGGATCATGGCTCTGATGCTGATACACGATTGCTCTACAGCAGTTTAATCATGTCCACACATTAAATTACAGTGAGTTGCAGCTTAATCACCATGATTAAGGAGTCAGGGGTGTTTGCAGGGATTAAGTTGGAGATTATTCCTCTTCAGCACTGTTTCAAATACTTTAATTGATTAGGTTCCCTACAAATTTTGCTGCAGGTTATGTCAGAGTGAGAGTATGAACATGGAATAGACTCACTTAGTAAAATCAGGTTGTCTTTAAAGCTTCACTTAGATTTCAAAGACATGAGTCCAAATCTAGATTGGGGTCTGCCTGCTGTGGTGTTTAAGGAGAGTCAGGTAAAATAAGATCTTGACTACTTGCATGGAGGAGCACCAACAGGAGCAACTGACTGTACCTTGTGCTTCCCTAAGAAAGGTGGGATTTCCAATGGAAAGCACAACGAAACTCCCAAATTTCATCACACAGAACAATCCCACAAATCCTGCTGACAGGCTGAAGTAAAGGAGACCTATATCTATAGAACTAATGTTTACCACTGTGTATCTCTGTAGCTATTTGGCAGACAGAAGTAGGCTCCTTGGCTGACCTTTTCCATCAGAGGCAAATTCACACTGCAGCTGAGTGGACATCCTAACATTCGCCTGGGAGACAGTGAAATCAGCACCTCTTATAGGCAGCTCAACCCAGTCCAGCATCTTCCACCCAAGGTCCAGCTGCTGAAAAACTAGGTTACATAAAAATATGTTAAAAAAACAAAGAAAGCAGTTGTTATATTGATGTGACAGAAATTGTGTCATGTTAGCATTTTAATCAAATCAACATTGAAAAGTCCCTGTGCAGTAAAGGCAAAATTTCTTTACCTAAGTGAAAGCATGTACATGTAAATAAAAAATGTTCATCATTGGATTAGAGCTGGCTAAATAGCTCTGGACTTTGTTCCAACAAACTTAATTCCTTGTTGGCCTGTACCTTGGCCCTTCTGTTTGTGAGTTTATATTCAAAGGTATGTAAATACTGATGACTGGAGAGCAATTAAAATAATCTAATATTTAAAGGTCTCCTTCTCACATTAACACTTACTTTCTGGCCATTGTTCAGCAGCAAAGGAGCAAATGACATGCAACCAGTAAAATCAAATCTTTCCCAGCTGCTGTCCAAAAATGGTATTAATCAAAACGTGCCAGCCAGTGAAGCACTTACCTGAGTGAGCACAGCCCTTGACAATTAGCATGCGTAGCTGCTTGCCAGTGAAACTAAGGGTTGGACTGTCTGGCTCTCACTTATGATGTATCATATTTGTGCAGCTCAAGTTATATTCTTGTAGGGATACAAACATTTTGAGAAAGAGAAAGAGTGAGCTCACAAGGTTGATCCACATAGAGTAATTTGTTAAATAGGCTAAACCCAGCTCTGCCCAAAATAGCAGCGAGCTAGCTGACAAATTATTCTCTCTAGGCATTGAATATGCTAGCTGAAAAATGTGTTAGTGCCTGCAGGGAAATAACAAGGCAAAACACTTTTTTTCTGTGCGCATGTGTGCTTGTGCTCTTTAAATAACAAATTAGCCACTAGTTGCATGAACTAGTCTTTAGCTCTGAAAATACTTCTCAAAAGCAATTTTTGACTACTTCCATCCACAGTTTCTCTCTGCCAAGAAAAAGGATTATGCTGTGAAGAAACAGGGGGACTGCTCTTTTCAACTCCCACTCGCTAGAGACTAGGCAGACACAATCCTCTTCTGTCCTGCCACAGCCTCACAGGCAATATAGACATCACGGAGCCTTCAAACAGAATGATGTAGTGGGAGTGTGACTGGGAAAAAATATTCACACATACTTTTCTAGGGAGTAATTCACAGAACCTCCCAGCCCTATATGGATTCCCATACCCAAAGTGCTTCTTCCGTGGGGGTCGATTCAAGGGTTGTGATGAAGGAAATTATTCCATCTGTAGGTTTTTTTGGCATCTACCTCCATCTTACAGTTTAGAGATCACTTGCCCCCATCCCACAAACCACAACACCCAAGCTTCTATAGCCTCCTCTTAAGGTAGCTTCACAAAAATTTGTTGCAATTAGTTTGAAAGCCAAACTAATCTCAGCCAAAGTTGATCTGGGATGTGTCTTCAACAGAAAAAAAACCCCAAAACTTGAAAAAGCACCTGAATTTTTAGAAAAAGACATTAAAACTTCTGGCAGAAGGCTTTGTTTGTTATCAACCATCTGCTGCCTTGGTGTGTTTCCATAGATATGGCAGAATTAAGGAAATTCTGCAGAAAGCATCTGTGTACGTGGAGCAGTGGGTGTGCTGCAGACACTGAACAATCCGTTGCAGGGGGGAGATACTGAGTGGTAGTGGCAAGTCCATTCTATTGTTTTCCCTGTAAGGAGTTATTTTCCTTTTGTTTTTTACAAGTCTTTTGGAAGAACAATATTTTTATAGAGCTAAATGATTTTCATTAGCATATTGCTACCAGTTCTGTGCTGTGGGGACATCAACTTTGTAACCAGTGTCTTCAGATGGGACTCTGTGGAACTTGGGTCCCAAGCTGAGATTGTCATCACTGTCTTCAGTTAGTACTTGCTTATGAATATTCAATATATAAGAAAATATTTTCTCCCTTATGCCTGCTGATCATATATGACTTAGTAATTTCCATTGCCTTGTGATCTTTATCCATACCTTCATGTACCAGTGTAGAATTAGGGTAATTTCCATATGCTGAACAGTATCTCACTCTGCAGGTAGGCTCACTGATTGAAAAGTGATGATTTGTGTCCCTTATTAGACATCATTCATCATGGGAAAAGGTGACAGAATCGGACCCATGGTGTTTAAAGGCTCTGAGACAGTAGGATTCCTCAGAGTCATTGATATCAAGTACATACTTAAGCACTGTGGTGGATTGGAGCATGAACAGACCACAGCTGCTAAGCTTCTCATTCTTTCTTATTAGCACCCAGTTATGAGCACTTTTGCTATTTTAAAACTAAATTCCTTCATTATTTTAAAATTAAATTCCTTCATTATTTTAAAATTAAATTTCTTCTTACTTAACCAACAGGGAAGCATGCAACATCTTTTTGAACAAGGGTACAGACTGTAAGGATTAATATTAAGGAAGAGTAGAAGTCAAGGATCTGTTACACCTTATATTTATTTTTTATTTTCTTCTGTATTTTCTCACCAGCCTCCAAGTTTCGCTCTGATATTCAATTCTGACTGGTCTGATACTATATGCATATAATAGGAAGTCATGTACATAGAAGCCTAAAATAACTCAATTTAGTCTGTTCCACTTGTGGTTGCTCTGGGATAGCTAAAAGTGGAATCAGGCTTTCCAGAATCATTCTCCCAAATATTAACACAGATCTAATTTAATTGAGTAGCTGTGTTTGAAACTGCATAATACTCAGTCACAATTTCTGGTGTGCTCTAGCAATGGGGTGCAACTTCAACCACTTGCATTGGTGTGCTACCAGTGGTGTCATGACAGGATCCTATCAGCTCACACCACGAGAAAGTATGATAAACCTCACTGGGGGCCTAGTCTGTAAGAGTCAGTTATAATTCCCTGTACCATTGCCCAAAACTGAAGTGGAGCCTAAAATAGTTTGTGGTTTTAGAGGAGAGCTGGTCAATGGATTTAATTAAGACAATATGTTTTACCCCTTTATTTTTTTTATTTTTGTTCCCCTGTGCTGCCAAGCTTTCCTTGGCTAGAATACAACACACCACATCAGAGCATTTTACACATGGGATTTCTGTACTGTACTAAAGAAGAATTAAAAATCTCATGAGACTTGGAGGAAATCTAGGTGAAATCACTGTAAAAAAAAAAAAAAAAAACAAGTGAGGGAAGAAGTTGTCTCACTGTATCTGCTGTGGCAAATTTTTGATGAGAAAAGATTTTGAAAGAGGTCCTGTTTATTCATTTAACTCTGTTCCTGATCCGACAATTTTTAGTCAGATGAAGTTGTCACTAAAGTAAGCCAGAGCTCCCTGATGTCATTGGGATCTTTCCATGGGCTCTGGTGGGCTTTGGATCAAGCCTACAGTAATGGGAACTGGCAGCTCCTGCTGATTTCACAGAGACTTGCGAGTGCCTGGGGTTGGACAAGCTGCCTTGAAAGGAATCCTGTGAGTTAGGAAACAAGCTCTAATGTTATTAGCTATATATTTTTCTAAGAGTGTAACCAGTACCTTCAAGCAAAAATATTTTACAGTTGACTGTACTTTTAAGGCAAAATAACTGAAACTGTCAGGTGATAATGGACTTTCAGAAAAGGAAGAGAAAGGAACCATACACAATTCCCTCATTTAAATGTTTATTCTCCTAGTTCGAACATTCTGATATAGGTTAAAGCATAATGAGTGTTTCATCAACAAAGCATTCTCCTGTTCAAATCATTGGCAAAGTCTTTATGTCAGATGCCAAAAAAATCACTGGAGTCACAATTCAGTGGCTGTATTTTGTTTTCCCATTATAAGGGGAGTGGAAATACTTCCATGCTTTAGTTACTGAAACATGGACAAAGGAAGACATTTGTAGCTAATCTGTTTATTTTGGCTGGAGGAGATTAAACTAATTTCTCAAAATACCTAAGCAAAAATATTCAATTGTTTCAGGAAATGTAAATATAGAACTTCAGGACTTGAGTGTAATGTTTTGTTGCTAATCTTACAAGTACCTTGGTTTATATCAGCAATGAATTCACAATGTTTCCTTCTCATCTTTTAAACATGCTACTAATGCCCCCTGGAAAGGATACAGTCACACTGATTGCACAGCCTTTTAAAATTTCTACTTTAGACCACCCAAAATTCCTAGGAAATGAATTTCTAATTTGGTTTCTCTTATGAAAATAAATTAAACTTCAGCTAGAAATGCTGAACAGTTTGTGCTTTAGAAAAATCTTTTAATTTGTCTCCTTTGAGACTTGCTTGTGCTGTTTTCATGACCAGATCTTAGGGTTCATGTACAGTTTGAGTGAGAGCTTGCAAGATTCTGAGTAAACATTCGTTGGTGCTTATCTTTCATAACTTTCATTTACTTTTGTAAGATGTAGGAAATTCAGAATTTGAAGAATGCTATTTCATCTCTTTTTTTACTTCATTGGAGTTTTTTGGGGAGTATTCTAGGATACATTTTTTAGGCATAATCTGCATATTTTTAAAACTGCTATGCAGAAAGCTAAATCTAGGACTGTCTTAAAAGAATTAGGAATGAAGGAAAGCCTTAGGATTAATCATTTGTGAGGCTGGCAGGAGCATGCTGTTGTCTGAAAACCAGACAACATGATCAGAAAAAAGGATCATGGAGAAACTGTGTCAGGGTGAACCTGGATTGTCAGTGAGCCATCCACAAGGAAATGTCAAAAAGGGAAACCAATATTTTGGATAAAATCCTCAAAAAAAGGCTGCTGGAAGATAATGTGTCAGGAAAGAAGTTAAGGGTACAGAGAGGCATTTTCTGTGTAATAACCATGAAAAGCTAGAATAATTATAATGATATTTGTTAGACATACAGAAAAAAATTGGAGTTTGGAGGAGAAGGTGGAGAAAGAAAAGAGAAAGTGTAACTTGTTCATGTTCATCGTTTGCTGCTTCAGTCAACACTCATATTTAGCATATAAATAGGTTTATCAAAAATGCTCGTTACCACCTCAAAGAATTTATAAAAGATATTTACAAAATATGATTTGATGGGAATAAGGAAAGTGATCCCAAGACCATTGAATTTCGTCTCTTACTCATCTCTGTACGGCTGATTCAACAACAAGCACACTTGAATTTGAAAAGCTGTCAGGTTCAACATGGATGGCTAAAAAGCTGTGGCAGAAATGAACTATGCACCTGCTTTACACTGGGTGATAATGTGCCCTTAGAAATCTAAAATTAAAAGACTGGTCAGAAGATTCAAAAAATATCAAGGAAATAATTATCATCAAACTTCAGCATTTTTTAATTCACTCTCATTTTCAGAATCTTTATGTAAAAATAGACTAAGAATATTGAGTTTTAACTGAACAACAGCACAGTTTTGAAGTCTTCCTTTTTGTTATGTAGTTCAGGATATCAACCCTTACTCTTAACTTGATGCTAAATATCAGTTTTGTAGCTGATATGTAAGTTTAGATAGGAAGGGGAAATACATCTTTCACCTTCACGTTCTCTCCTTTTTTTTCCCTTTAAACTCAAGGCCTTTGCACAGCAAGACAGACTTTGTCACATTTCCTTTAAGTGATAAAGATTTCCTTCTTTCTTCACCTGTGACTCCAGAGCAAACTCTCTTTTGTTAGACAGTTTCAGTGTTAGTCTTTTCAAGATTTCCTACCTTTTTGGTTGGAGTGCTTTTCATTTTATTGATGTTTCTGCTAGGGCTTTTGAAGAGCAGAGTTCAGGCTTAACATATTTTCCTCATTGCTATTTTAAAATACTCTTGTGCTTAGATGGGAAGCAGAGTTTGGTAAGAGTTGGGAATTGTGCACTGTGAAGTCTAGCAAGAAAGGTCCTTCTAAAGTCTGAGCACATGTAAGCACAAAAACACAGAGCAGGCAGACACGTGCCCCCGCTCACTAAACTTCTTCTCTAATTTGTTGGCTGGTTGTGTATTTTTAAGGTATTTATTTGTACAATAGGATCATGAGCACCTTAGCTGTGAAGCAACGTTATCAATCCAGCCTTAACCTAAGCAGGCAAGGACTGCTCCTGAAGGAGAGAAAGCACAGCCAAGAACTACCCACTCCAGGGAGAGGGAAATCCATTGACAAGAGTCAAACTCTCCCAGTCCCAAATGGGAAACCCCTTGTGCCAAATAAATACAACATGCAAAGTGCCTGTTTTCTGCTGTGTTAGCATGATACACCCCTAGGGCAGTTTGCACATCTGCCATGGTGTTAGCTTTCCTTACTTCTGCTTCTTTCTTCCTCTTCAGGTCAATATTGGTATTCTCATTGCCGTCACAAGAGTTATCTCAAGAATCAGTGCAGACAACTACAAGGTGCACGGAGATGCCAATGCCTTCAAGTAAGTTTTTCTCATTCAAATTATATTATGACAAGTTAATAATCTCACACTAGAGATAGGAAGTCTCATGGACTTCTCCAAAAACACTGTTATCGTTCCTCATTACTAAAAAGTAAATAATACTTAAGGCAGCACATAATTCCCTTGAATGCAGCCAGTTAGCCTGTATTTATGAAAGGTAAATGCTGCACAGAATGAGACCTCTGGGTCAGCATGAGCTAAAGTGTTTTCCTGCTTATTGCAGTCTCCAGCATTTGCTGATTCATGTTTTTGCCTTTTATTAATGGAGATTTTCCTCTTCCTGCTATATTCAGTGATAAATCTCACCAAGCATCAGTAATCTGTACAGAGTATTGCAACCATTCTGCTCCTTCAGAGCATAAACCTTGATTCTAGCCCCAGTTCAGCATAATATTTAGGTGTATGCTTATCTTTAAGACTCTCTTGATACTGCAAAGCATACAGACTCATGCTGGATTTAAATATGTGCTTAAATTCAAGCGGATCATTATATCAAGGTGCCTTGAACCTCTTGGGGTGGTGGCCTCTATGAGTGTATCATCTTTAAAGTACTGTTCTAGCAAGGTTCTGGGGAAATATAAGGTAGACACATTGCTACACCTGAATACAGAAGGACAAATTCTGATTTTTAAAATCTATATGATTACATATGGGTAGCTAAGAAAATCATTTAAGATACAGAATATAAACTAGAGATGCTGAATATTGCATTTTGTATTTTGCATCTCCTAAAGATTCTTTAGTCTGAATATAAAAAGGACACTACATAACTCAAGGAATATGTAACTCAGATAGAAGAAAAATGTGATGATACATTGTGTTTAATGTTTCTGAGTCACAGGCTTTTCTGTGGTAAGGAGTTGGTGCCATTGCTCTGAAATGGTATCATAAAAAATAATTTTTATGCTTGAATTACTTATGTAATTTTTAAAATGCTATTACATTTTAAATATTGGTGACAGTTACCTAATTTAACTTCATTTTGTTGTTGTATACTTATCCAACAGGAAAAGAAAAACAGTAAGTAAGTCTACACAAAAAAATCTATAAGATAATTACATTGCAGTGAAATAAAAAAGCCTGGGAATTAAAATGACTGTTTCAGGTTTGCCTGAGTCCTTGTGACCTTCAGAAATACAAAGGAGCTATAGAAACTTAGGAAGCAAATAGCTGTGTGCTATCAATGGCAATTTGTGTGTACTACTCGAATTATGAAGACAAAGGAACAACCTCTGTAAGCAGGAGAGGAGATACACTATGTACTCTATGTACTTAGATGGTTCTGTACTTGTATTACAAAGAATTGATTCAACACACACTGTGCCCTTCACACTAATATATATTAATTTTTAAAAAGAAATCTGTGTGTACATAACTAAAACAATTTATGAATGGTTGCTCTAGGAATGAGGTGAAATCCGTTTAATCAGGGAAATATGTTCTTAGTTCAAGTATTATCAGCTGTAGATTTGGAATGGTGGAGCTCTGTACTGAAAATGTGACTTCTCCAGCCACCCAGGCTAAGAGACGCTCCTTGTGTCAAGTAGTTTTTAAAATACAGTATTAGGATTTGACCTATTAAAAGTGATGGTGAAAAATTATAATCAATGGGAAAATATATCTTCAAGGATTCAATTGTTAAATTATTGGTTAAGCAGAAATATGCTCTGATAGAACAGCTTTCCTCAGAGAACTAAATTAATTCAATAAAACATAACTGAAGGTAAACAGAACATACAGAATAGCTTTTTTTTTTCTGTAGATGTCATCCCAGAAATGGCTTCTCAAAAGAAATTTGAAATGAGAAGGGCACAAATAGCTGTCCAAATTGGATGTTAGATAGTGTTTATACCCTGATTCAAGATAGCAGTGAGGCATGATGTATTAAAGTTCCATGTACGGAGGATGTCATGGAGAAAGTAACTGGTCTGTTGGAAAAAAGGAGAAATATAAAGTGTTTGCAGCACTGGATTTCATTTTCTTGTCATCAGTATTCCTTCTATAGGTGAGAAGTTTATGTGTCTGTTTTGAAATCATTCTGTCCCCAGTACCATATTCCAAAAAAGAAGGGAACAAAACAAAAGAGGGTTCTGTTCTGACTGCTGCATGGGAAATGTTTTTCACAAGGCAAAACCCCCCATGCCTCCAGCCACGGAAGGATCCTAGATGTTGATGAGAGGTTGTTAACATGTGAGAGTGGATAAGCACAGCAAAATGTATCAGTGCCAGAGAGCACAAAGAAATCAGAAGAACGCAACAAGCTCTGTACCTTCTGTCAAGTTGCTGTCAGCAGGGACCACAAGGTAGTTTTGGAATCAACAAGTTCAATTGGCTTAGGGAGGAATCACCGAAGACTGCAAAATACTTTGTGTAATATGAGCTGTAAATAAAAGGCCTGTCAGGCATCCATCTGAATAGTGCAGTTCATTTGATATTAGCTGTGGGGGAAATGGCAATATCTTATTGAATTTATCAAGCACTGCTTAGACACACAGCTGAATGAGAATGGCACAGTGTGACTTTGGAGAGCCAGGGAAGCCCTTTGTCACCACCTTGCAGTGGTTAGCTGCAGTGAATGGTGTGTGAGGCAGCAGTGCTTTTCTTTAGGGCTGTGCTCATGGCTTCAGAAGGCCAGAGGCAGAAAATGAGAACTGCAGTACCAGGAGCTGTAGGAGGGGACGCGTGCTCAATCCAATAAACTTGAGAGGGGAACCAAGAGGGATTTCAGTGGTGTCTTTTTAGGCTGGAATGAAATTTAAGTGGAAAGCACAATAAGAAACAGCAAGTTGCTGTCTGCAACAGCATAGATGATAACACTTAAAGCAGCAGGGTTTGGAAGTTCACAAGTGATAATGAACTGAAGGGTGTAGCAAAACTGGCTGGAGAAGGAGGAAAGTGCCTGTGGCAGACGTGTGAGGGAGGTGCCAGCACTCAGCTTGCCTTGCCTTGGGAGCTCAGGCCAGTGTTTATATCTGCCTTGGAGCACCTGGCTAAGAGGCATCACACTTGCAGTGGCTGTTAAGCAGCCATGGTAGTCCGAAAATCCCAGCCTACAGGCTTTGCAGAACGCACTCGGCACCAGGCTCGAGCCGCCTCTTGGCAGGCTTTGCTGCCAAAGGAGAACTTCAATCACATGGACAAGGATAGGCTTCCATTTCTGCTGGCAGCCTGGATGGAGAGCACCAGACTTGGATTATCTCCCCTACCTTCAGAACTCAGTAATGCTCACACCACCCCCACATGGACTCCTGATCAGTGGAGCAATGGGTGCTTCTACCACGCACTTGATCTTGTCTGTAAAGTGTCCACCTTGCCTTAGAAGTTCTGATTTCCCCCCAGTGACTGTGGGGGCAGCCTGGACTGTGCTCAAATACCATCTAGAGCATGTCTCCAGCCAGGTGTGTGTAACTCACACCTCCTGGGCCACCAGCCTGTAGCTGAGCAGAGGTTACCTTGCGAAACTGTCAGACCAAAGCTGCAGTTATGAGCCACGGTGACACCAGTTAGAAAGGATATTTATTGTTAAAGAAGTGCTGGGACCAGAAAGCACTTAGTTTCCCTAAAGATTAAGTTACTTGGCAACACAAATGGATATTACCAACAAGTTTGTTTCTCTTGGCAACATCCAGCAATAACCTGATGTAATTATTTAGAGGATTTGTTCCTCAGTTTCCATATGGCAACAGGTCCTCTCAAATGTGAGTAGAGAATACATGTCAGGGTGAGCCAGTGCTCCACTCTGTGGGCAGTGTCTGTTGAACTTCATGTTTAAAGGCCAGTATGGGAAGTTGAGACCGAAATTCCTTTTTATCATAAAAGTAGTTAATTATTCACATTCCCCAGTCATGTTTTGCCCAGACTAAAGTGCAATACATCATGGGCCGATTGACCTCTTCAGGTTCAGATGTTGCTCGTCACAATGGAGACATCAGAGTGCATCTTGTTGGACATTTTATTCAGGTTTTGGAGATACTGGTGTGGACATGTCTTTCTGTTTGGTTTTTTTTTTTTTTTTTCAAAGTAAATAATAATAGCAGCCCCAAATTAAAATATAGGATAAACTGAAATAAAAACATAAAAGGGTAGGTTTGTATGATACATGAAGTGCAAAATACCCAATATTTAAAGCCAAAATGAATGCAATTAATGAATCAGTATATGATCAGAGATGGTAATTAATACTAAATAGACAAAATACCTGTGACAGTCTGAACAGTCTTAAGTATTTGGTCATTGTAGAATGTGTGTGTGAAAACAGCCACTCTTTTAACATCTGAAACTTCAGTTCTTCAAGAGCAGTTTACTGGTGAGAGCTGAGCAATTAATTATTATAAGCTCCTATTTGCCACCTAAATTTACTTAAGAACATGCTTTTTGCATTGTTTTCTAAAGCATGTTGAACATATATATAAAATATGAGCTGTTTCACTTGGTTGTGACTGATTATATTTGAACCTTTTATTACATGATTAGCCATTGACTCTCAGCACCATAATTTCATGTGATAATTCAGAAGCTGAAACGTTTAAATGCATACATAAAATATTTGTTTGTTTTATCTGTTCTTGACTCAGCCCTCTTTCAGGGAAATACTTAATCATGTGTTTGAGTTTAAGCTAGTACTTACAAGTAGCCTCTTTAAGCTTAATGCAATTAAAGCAGAATAGTTTAGTGGGGTTGCTCACATGCTTGAAAAGGCACAGGATTACATTTCTGAGTTGTGGATCATTTGAACCCTTTCTTACTTCTGCTGCAAGTCCTGATTCTACTCAGTGCATTCATTAACTCTTATTAGGACCTAAATAGCTTTTTTTTCCTGCTGTGTCCCTTCAAAGTCTCCTTGCTGTGTTTACTTGGGAAGTTACTTCTCTGTTACAGTGAGAAAAGATCTCTAATGTGACTGTGTTTTAGAAACGTACACACCTCAATACCCACAGGGAGAACTCTTCCCTGATTAAGTCTATCCCAGGTAGTCATTT